AGAGAGAGTGTGTGTGTGAGAGAGAGTGTGTGTGAGTGTGAGTGTGTGTGAGAGTGTGTGTGAGAGTGAGAGTGTGTGAGTGTGTGAGTGTGAGTGTGTGTGAGACTTTCAGCATTTATCTGGTCCGCAGAGCTTTAGTGTAATCAGCAAAAACAAATGGGTCAGAACATTATAACCCGCTGTGTTGTTCCTATCTGCCGAAACGATCGTTCATCTCTGAGTGTGTGCGTAATAGTGTTATTATCTCTGTGTGTGTGTGTGTGTGTGTGTGTGTGAGAGAGAGATAGTTTTTATTCAGTCAGTGTCGGCTGACTAATGCAGAAGCTTCACTTTCACTGTTCCTGAAAATAGTCCCAGCTAGGTAACTTCCAATAAGCCTGTTTTCAGGCACTACGTAATATCATTGCAAAAATATAGAAACTCTTTGGTAATTTTTGAGCGAGATGCTAACGGTCTAATCAGATTCAATGATCTATGCTAAGCTACTGCTAAAAGTGCTACCGCCAGACCCGGAGATCGGCTGAATGGATTCGAAAACTGTTTAACTCTAGGGGAGCTGGAAAATGAGCCTATTTTCAAAAATAGTGGAGTGTTCCTTTAAAGTTGATTCAATGTTACTCTTAATGAAAACACACACACACACACACACACACACACACACAACATCAGCAATGCTACAGTGACAAAGTGGCTTATATTAAACATAAAACTTTTATGAACAGAACGAATAAGACTGATGTACCAGCGTTGTAACACAAATAAATGAAAGGTTTTTGGATTTTCCCCTTACTTTAAATGAATGCTTATGGCTCATTATTATTAATGAAGAAAAAAAATAGGCTATACAATAAAATAGTACAATGATAAATTCACTATCAATATTAAACTTTGAACTTTTCTAAACAAAATGAATATGGATTTCCCCTCGGGCTGTCTGTAATGATGAGTCAACGTGATGGTGATGATCAGGGGGAACCACAGAGGCCGGATTCATAGTTTGTGATTTATTATCTTAATTAAAACATATCAGCCGTAAAATAGTACAATGGCAAATTCGCATATATTAAACATCTAGCTTTTATTAACAAAATGAATAAGATAGCCTTGCGTTGTAACCCAGATAAATAAGGTATTTTCCCTTATTTTAAATGAATGCTTAGTTTGTGGTTCATTATTATTATTTTTTTTATGGAAACCCAGCAACAATAAAGACACTCACTTATATTAAATGAAGAAATTACAGTTTTATTAAAAGTAACGCTTTTGGATCCGCCGCCATAGTGTGTCTTCTCGCATTACTCTTGTCACGTGAAAAATAAAATGTAAAATGTGCATATAAAATATGTACAGCACAAATGTAATAGTTAAAATAAAGTTAAATAAAATTACATTTAATGAAGTTATGTTGTAAAAAAAGGGTATTTTGTTTTAATGTAATAAAACAACATACTGAAAAAAAAAAAAAAGTAAAATAATATGTTTAACAAAACAGAGTTGTTATTGATTATGGAGTTGTTTCACCCAACATTTGAAAGCAGAAACTGTTGGATTGAGATTGTTTTGTTGTGTTTGCTGTAGAATCAGAGAATCTGGACTGAAGCCTCACGCTGACAACTGTAAACTCTGTTCAGAGACGCCCTCAACGCCTGTGTGTGGATCAGACGGACACAACTACGCCTCACAGGTACACACACACACACACACACACACACACACACACACACACTCACACACACACACACACACACACACAGTGAGAACATCAAGGCTTGAGCTGGAACCAGATCAAATATTTATAAGGGTGACCGCAGGAGACAGCGATTGCTCATTGAGATAGAAGAGAGAGAGAGAGATAGAGTGGGAGGGAGGGAGGGAGGGAGGGAGGTAATTTTCTGTCTCTTACACACAAGGTCAAAATTAAAAACAGTGCATGAATCGATACAGTGACCAGGAGCAGAGCCGGCCGCCTCATTCATCACACGCATGCGATCTGCAGCCGCGCACACGCTAGAGTTTACACTCTCTACCAGATCCATCGATCCAATGCTCCATCACTGCGGCTGCAATAGCAGTCACTCTAGTTTGGACACTTCTCCTCCTTTATTTGAATTAATTAGAGCATGGATTGACAAACGTTTTTGTTAGCCGAACCTCTTTGAGGTAAAATATTATCTTGAAGTCACCCTGAGATTTTAAGTTAATATTTAAAAAATTTAACAACACATTACGTTCATGATTCTCTGATGGTCATTTGACATGCAGGTGAACAAATAAAACCAATTTGATTGTTTTTTATTTATAATAATTTATTTTTTTAAATATTTTGTATTTTTGTTTTTAAATACTTGATTCAAATAATTTTTTTTATATTTATTTGTTTGTTTTTTCCATTTATTTTTTAATACGTTTTTCAATTTATTTTTAAACATTTTTTTCAATTTTTTTCAAGTTTTTCCAACTTATTTAAAAATATTTTTATATATTTTTTACTTATTTTTAAATAATAATTTTCAGTTCATTTGTAAATATTTATTTGTTTTTATTTATCATTTATTTTTAAATATTTGTTAATTTATTTGAATGTTTTAAAACGTTTTTTAAAATGTTTTTATTTGTTTTTAAATATTTATTTTTGTTTTTATTAAAGATTTATTTCTAATTTATTTTTAATATTTTTGAAATATTCATTTTCAATTAATTTTTAAATATTAAAAAAATTAGAATTATTTATTTATTCGATGCTTTTCAGTATCTGCTGCAACTCATTTCAGAAATGTTTTTGTTTGTAAAAAATTCACATGTACACACATTTACATATTTTATTATATACGTTTTTATTTTTATCTTTTTATAATGTATTTTGTCTTATTTTAGAAAGTAGGCCATATCATCAGGTTTTTATTAACATGATAAAAATGAACTCATTCAAGCGTGTCGAAACCTTTGACTATCAACTCTTTCTTTATCCCCAAAACATCTTACACATCCAACAAACACTCGTTCTTAAGTCAGAATAGTGAAAACCCATCTTCAGCTGCTCATAGCTGCTTAATTATGTGTGTGAGTGTTGCTTTGAGACATAAACAAACTGCGGTCCTTTCATATGAAGCTCTCTCTCTTGTGTGTGTGTGTGTGCGTGTGTGTGTGTGTGTGTGTGTGCGTGTGTGTGTGCGTGTGCGTGTGCGTGTGTGTGTGTGTGTGTGTGTGTGTGAGTGTGTGTGAGTGTGTGAGTGTG